AAAAAGGGGGGGGGGGGGATGGAGATTACATTTCTCAGAATCTCCCAATGGCACGCATATCTACCTGCACCCACTGATTCATTGATATCATACAATTCATCTCATACGGATGCTGTGGTAGATACCCATATCATGTATGTACAAAAACATCACATATGCACGTGTTACACGCGAATAGCATGTAAATAAAAGATTTTACAATTATTAGAAATTTAATACCAGTTATGATATCAATGGTACTTTTATGAACCTCCAGGATACAGCATCCCTATGAAGCATCATCATTATCTAACGGTATTTTACATATGTGAAATTCTGAAAAATATGCTTTTAGGATCGAGCTAGGAACGTGTCCGAGAGGTTCACGTCGACGACTACGCTGACTGTCAATATAAGGGATGACGATGATCAGGATCCCTCATTCATTTATCAGGGATGCATGCTACTCGATGGCGCCTGCATTAATCCCGAATACTCAGCATCCGTAAGTCTCTTAATAATCGATGTAAAATTTAAGACGTCATTTTTTTCAAGTAACCCGTAAGTTTCTATACTCATTGAATTTTGAGTATGTTATAAATTTTTTTATTATTTCCCTGTCTCTAATTAGGTGTCTAGCGGTGTTCTCTCGGGCATACTCAATATATCGCCTGAGAAGATACAAGCTGTAGACATGGATAGTATCAATGCACCGATACATTATTCCTTCCTGAGTGGAGTTCCGTCGAATTATCGAGATTTCTTTGAAATCAATCCAAACACCGGTGCCGTCAAACAGATAAAAGCGGTGGATACGACGGCCACGAAAAAATTCGACATCATCATTAAGGTGTGACATCAGTGAGAAATAAGGATGAAATTTGGATTTTGAGAAAATTAATTAATTTTTTTAAGGGTTAATTTTTTTTTCCTTCTTTACCTTTAAAGGCAGTCGAAGTTTCCGAGGCTCGACGATCGGCCACTGCTAAATTGACTATCACTGTTAAACCGGTAGACAGTAATCCACCTGTTATTAGCGCATCTGCTGTCGAGGGATTTGTCGATGAAAATGCACCCGTCGGGACCAAAGTCATTGATGGAAATGGAAATCCGATAGTTTTGACTGTATCTGATGCAGATTTGGTAAGTAAATGATTCTAATATTTTTTGTATCCATGTATACAAAATCTTCATCCCAAGATCATCCCCAGATAGAGAAATTAAGTATGTGTTTAATACACGTATGACGCACGTAGTTACCTACTTCATGGCAATACCCATTAAAATTTTTCTTCGCCCCATACGATTATTCTCAATTCCATAATAAAGAACACACATATAGAGTTTTTCATTTTTATCAAAAAAATTCAGATCGCGGAACTGGGTCAACGAGGTCATGTATATCTTGATATGCCACCAGAAAATAAATGGACTATTACCGTACAGCTTGGAAATTACAAACGTAAAATTACCCGTCTTTGCAATTTCATCTTTTATACACAGAGAGATCAGACAGTCTTTTCTCATACATCAGTATATACATACTTTTTGCGACAACTTCGCTTCATTCCCACGATAAAAATACTCTACACCAGTTGGTGACAGGTACAGGATTTGTTGGTAAGAAATTAGCAGAAAAAACGAAGATTAACAAAAAAAAATTCCGTCGTCTCCCACGTAAAAATTTCAGTACAGATCCAAAACCGGGTACAGGAAGTTAGCTCCCCATAATTCGAAAATTCCGGTTCTACTTGTTGTTCTGTCTTGTTCTAAGTTTGTTCTATAATATTCGAGATAAACAAGTTTCTCAACTGAAATTTGTAGCGATGAGGCGAAAAAAAAACATTTTTTTACTTTTGGAAAGTCTGGGAAGTTAGCCACACATAATTCGAAAATTCCGGTTCCGTTGTTTGTTCTGAATTGCTCTAAGTTTGTTCTACAATGTTCCAGAAAAACAAGTTTCTCATTTGAAATTTGTAGCGGTGAGGCGAAAAAAACACTGTTTTACCGGAACCCCCCACTTATGGAAAATCAAACTTTTTTTTGTTGTTCAAGGTTGTTCTAGTTGTTCTAAATATTGTTCCAGAATATTAATACCGCTAAGTCAAGAATACTCGAATTGGATCAAAAAACCGTTTTATGCATAGCAAGTAGATATAGGACCATTTCGAACGATTTCCAGGTTATTCCAGATGTCCCAGCTTGTTCTAGATTTTTCCAGGTTTTCCTAGGTTTTCGTAGGTTTTCGTAGGTTTTCGTAGGTTTCCGTAGGTTTCCGTAGGTTTTCCTAGATTTTCCTTGGTTGCTCCAGGTTACTCCAGGTTGCTCCAGGTTGTTCCAGGTTGATCAGACAGGATAGACACATAAAAGCAGGGAAACACTGGAAAAGCTGAGGAGGACGAACGCTCTCAGAATAGCATGTGGATATAGGACCATTTCGAACAATTTCCAAGTTATTCCAGACGTCCCAGCTTGTTCTAGATTTTTCTAGGTTTTCGTAGGTTTTCGTAGGTTTCTTCTAGAATTGTTCTAGAATTGTATAACGATCGGGTAGTCGCAAATCGGATAAAAGTAGGAAGAAACGATTTTATATGCATAAAAGGTTTTTTTTGATCCAATTCGAGTATTCTTGACTTAGCGGTATTAATATTCTGGAACTATATTTAGAACAACTAGAACATCCTTGAACAACAAAAAAAAGTTTGATTTTCCATAAGTGGGGGGTTCCGGTAAAACAGTGTTTTTTTCGCCTCACCGCTACAAATTTCAAATGAGAAACTTGTTTTTCTGGAACATTGTAGAACAAACTTAGAGCAATTCAGAACAAACAACGGAACCGGAATTTTCGAATTATGTGTGGCTAACTTCCCAGACTTTCCAAAACCACGTGATATCCATGTAAAAATGACTGAATTTCCTAATCAACAATTTATATAATTTTCATTATAAAAATTGTCCAGGGACCGGAAGACCCAAAGCCAACCTACACCTTTGAGCTGACGACAAATTTCTTCGCTATCGATTCATCCGGCGTTCTCATAGTCAACGAAGAGAATCTCGACCGGGATCCACCGAGTCCTGGTCGCTTCCGCTTCCAGGTTGTCGCACGAGAGAAAACGGGCGTCGCCGCCTCTTCGCCGTTGTCGTTCGTCGTCACGTTGAATGACGTTAATGACAATGCGCCGCTGCTGCCAATGACTGCTCCCATCACGGTGCAGGCCGGCGATACCAAGAGGGAAGTAATTAAGGTGAGACTTTCGTTTTCATAGCACTTTTGCTTTCCAACTGGCACGAGACTTCCCCACGGTCATTTTACAATCGATTCCCAAAGTCGATCGCGTGACCGTTTACATTATTCTAGCCAATTGAAGGTGCGCCCATTTTTATCACGAAATACCGATCGACGTATTTCTCGAGTGACTAATATCCGATTATCCTTTTTTTTTAAAAAAAAACAGGTTCAAGCGACTGACAACGACGAGGGTGAAAATGCGGAAATAACGTACAGCATTTATCACGTGTCCAACAATGGGCAACAAAAATTCAAAATCGATCCCAAAAGCGGCGTCATTGATTCCATTGGGAAATTAAATGCCGGCGAGCAGTACAGCATAACGGTGCAGGCTACGGATAACGGTGGAAAATATTCTCAAACGATCGTCGAGGTCAACGTCATACCCGGACCCAACACCAGGAGTCCCGTGTTCCAGCAGCCGGTGTACGAGGTGCAAGTAAGCGAGGGTGCATCGATCAACTCGACCGTCGCGACCATCACGGTAAGTAAAATTATTTTCGCGAAATTGGAAACGACAGTTTCGAATAATAATATTTTTCTATAATTTACTAATTTAAATAACGATATTATTACCTTAATCCTTCTTGGATCATTGGAAAATCATTTATGAAAATTCGACTTCAGGCCGTCGACCCCGAGAACGACCCCGTGTCTTACTCAATCACATCTGGAAATGACTTAAGGCAGTTCGCAATCGGCGACAAGTCAGGCGTCATTACCGTTATAAGGAAGTTGGACAGAGAAGACTTGACGCGATATCAGTTGGTAAGTGGTTCTTGTACCTTTCGAAAGGAAAGCCGTAAAACGTTATTTTTTTTTAACACCGGAAAGAACTCGATGTTTAATTCTCGGAGCGTAACCATTTAGAGTTCCGTTTTCATTCGACAGCTGATAAAGGCCGAGGATACCGGCGGCCTCTCCAGCACGGCCACTGTCAATATTAAAGTGACCGACATCAACGATAAGAATCCAGAATTCGAACGACTTCCCTACGAGTTTTCCGTAAAGGAAGGCGAAGCCAGAAAGCTTATTGGTCACGTGCACGCGGAGGATGCCGACGAAGGTATAAATGCGGAAATAACGTATTTCGCGCCCGAAGACATTCCGTTTACGGTCGATCCAGAAACTGGAGACGTACTCACCAAGATAGCCTTGGATTACGAGCAGAATCACGTGAGTCCTGCAGAAGGCGCCATATGCCGAGTAAAGACCGTAGGAACGATGCGGGAGCCCTTTAATATTTCTTGTTCGTCCTAGGAATACAAGTTCGTCGTAACGGCAAGAGATGGCGCACCCGATCCGCGCCTGGCAACGGCCACCGTGACAGTGAGGGTGATCGACGTGGAGGACGAAGTACCGGTCTTTCATCAGAGCACGTACGAGGCAAAAGTCAAAGAAAATGTTCCCGATCATTTCGTGACTCAAGTAGTGGTCAGTCGATTTTATAAAATTTTTCATAAAATATTTCGACAAGTCACTGAGCATGTATCATGCATGGGATGCTCGTGTGAAATTTCTTTTTCTCTTTTCAAAGGACGATCCAAAACCAAAATAAAAGAGTGCGCAATGCAAAGCTAACGCGATTACTTTCAGGCCGATGATCCGGATACGAAGAAGCAAATTACGTACGTGATTAAGCAGGGCGATACTGACCTCTTCGTTATAGACCCCAAGACGGGAATCATCAAGACCGTCAGGGGTTTGGATTACGAAAGAGACAGTCAACATGTCCTCATCGTCGGAACTTTGGAGAACACCAGCGATCTTCCAGGCTCCACTACACGCGTTGTCGTTAATGTTCAGGTAATTGTTAATTAATTTTTTATTATCAATAACTTCCGGCATATACTCTGAATATTCAATATATCACGTTCAGGATGTAAATGATATTCCACCTGTATTCACGGCTGTACCCCGACCAATCACCCTGGACGACGACGCTCCCATTGGAACGACTGTAATTAATTTAGTAGCCGCCGATTCGGACGGAACAGCACCCGGAAATCAGGTATTTAAATTTTTTCCGATTAGGTCAATAAATTCGGGATATATTAAATTGTTATTTATATACCAGGTACGATACGAGATCATTGGACGGGGTATCGGTAGCAAATACTTCATGATCGATCCCGATACCGGAATACTCAGGGTTCGCGATGATCTACGTAAAGAGACAGACTCGGAGTATCAGGTGATTTTTAATTAATCCAATTGGATGTGCGAAAAGTATTTCACATCAAATACCTGTATATCCGGTATTTATGTAACAATTTTTTTTTTTTATGTAAGATCGACGTAAGAGCTTACGATCTTGGAGAACCTCAACTGTCGTCAGTGACGACCGTGCCGATTTACGTGCGTCACGTAGCTACGGTCCCACCGGAAATCGGCTTGGGCTTCGCAGAAGATTCGTACAACGTTGAAATTCCGGAGGATGCCACCGATAACACTCTTATAAAGACCTTAACGATCATCAACAGCCATACCCACGACGCTACGCCCTTGAAATGCGAGATCTATAGCGGCAACGAGGATGGGCTCTTCGAGGCTAATATCACGGAGGAACGTAATTGCGCTCTGAGGCTGAAGAAGGGTGCACTCGACTACGAGACCACGGAATCTTATCAGATAAAGATCAGATTGGAATCGCTTTCCGGACTTCTGAACTCCGACAGGAACACGACAATGGTGAGTATACCGAATAGCAATCAACGTTCAAATACGTTTTTACGGGTTATTCGAGAGCGTGACTGGGATCCCGTCCATACCGAATAAAATATTTTTCAGGTAAAGATTCAAGTAATGGACGTTAACGACAATAAACCGGAATTCATATTTCCGGAATCGAGTCGAGATTTGACGAAGGGACGTTACTTCGCCTCCATTCCCAAATCCGCACAGTTCGCCTCGACGGTAATTCAAGTGAAGGCGCAGGACAGGGACAATGGAAAATTCGGAAAGCTAGAATACAAGATACTCGACGGCCAAGGATCGGATTACTTCACGATCGACAGTTTCACGGGAATCATCAGGACGTCAACCACCTTCGACAACGTCGACAGGCGCGAGCTGCCGTTCAAGTTCAACGTTCAAGTTCGCGACAATCCAAATTCGACGATCAATTCGAACGCCGTCGAGGCGCCGGTTATTCTCAATCTAATCGCCGAGGAGAATCTCTTGGTGATGGCCATACTGGACGCGCCGCCCGATACCTTGCAGAAGGAGGCTCTGAGGATCGCTCGGACCGTAGAAGAGAAAACGGGGCTGCTGATCGGGATCGATAGGATCACCGTGCGCAAGACTTTAACGAAAAACGGAACGGTCGAAACTTTTCCACAGGATTCGGACGTTTGGTTTTACGCTGTTGATCCCGATACGGAAACTATCCTGGATAGAAACAGTACCAGATTGCAAAAGTAGGTCAAAACCATATTTAAAATTCATCGGAGGAAATTAAACTACGAATATCGGCATATATACATATATATACATATTCAGTATACACGTACACGTTACACGGACTGAAAGACATAAATTTTCACATTTACCGGATAGATTGATCACGTAATGACATTGTCAGAAATTTCCATTGTACGGAATGACTGGAAAGCTTCCGGAAGTTCGAGCCGAAATAATTACTGTTTAATTGCCATGTAATATATTAAATGCCGTATAGAGGCATATCATTATACGCGCGCACTTACGATCACGTAGACCAGGTCGCGTTCCCACTGATTTCCAGCCAATGTAAAACGTCCCCATTGTCCTGCAGTGTTTTCCTATCGGCCGCCTGCGCTACGCGAATACCCGAACGCGATGTCTGGCGGCTTGTTTTACATTCGCGCTTTCCTTTTCAGAGCAATTTTGGAAAAGCAGGCAATGTCGAACATAACCTTCGACGTGTCCACTTTGGTGAGAGCCAATGCGGTCGACATACACGCACCGGTGATGACGCCGGAACAGGTGCGCACGCAGACTGCCGTGGCTTTCAGCGGCGAAGTTTTCCCGTACGCTCTGATCATCATCGCTTGCGTAATACTGATCCTGGGTATCGCTGGAATCATCTACATCTGCGTCTCCTGGTCTAGGTAGGTAACAAAAAAAAAAACAGTTTTTTCTTCTGGGCCATCAAATACCAACCGGCACTTCAGTTAATCTAAAATTTACTCGCAAACACGAAATATAAATTCGACCAGAATTTACGAGTTTCGCGCACGTAAACTCATTGTCCTCTTGATTAACGTAATCAACGTTAATTCCCACTTCCGGCACACACTCGTCAGCACGTTTCAATGGCAATCCTTCAACATGCCGCAATTGCACGTTACCCGTGTATTATCTGAATTCTGGGTACACTTGCACGTTACGATGATTTTCTTTCGTAATTCTTAAAATTTCTCCAAACAGATATAAAGCGTACAAGGACCGTATGCAGCGTATGTACGTGGTGCCGCGTTACGATCCAGTTTACGTGGAGCCAAACTTGAAGGAGTACGAGACGCAGGTTTTGCAAATGAGTGTACCGGTCGACGATAACGACAGCTACAACGACCTGCAGTTGGACTTCAGTAATAAGAATCACGCATTCAGCTTGGACAACGTCAGCTACATCACCAAAGATCATGGTGGGAGTACAGGTAAGGAGAAAATTCTTTTTTTTTCAAAAACGTCCCAGTGGCGTTAAAAAAAATTTTTATCGAAATGACGCAATTAACTTTTTTGTTTTTGTTTCTTCCTCAGGACAACAAAGTCCTGTCAGTTCGGAAGCGGCGACTACTGCTCGCGCCTCCAGCATAGCCGGAAATCATGCCGAGTCGAACATCCATTCTCTGCGCCGTTCCACCCTGGGTCGCAAGAACGTTAACACGAGCAACACGAACACCCTGAACAACCACGACACGCCCGTCCTGAATCCGCTCTATAATCATACCGGCGATCTACTCAGCCCGAGTCCATCGAACGATAACGTCACGTTCAAAGAGAGGAAAGACTATTCCCACCTTGGATTCACGTATCTGGGTGATCAGAGTCCCGTAGAAACGACCACGGAGTTGTAAAGGAAATTACGTCATTTATTAGTCAACTCCTGACTCGGTGCAGCCCGTCCTTGTATGCCGGAGTAACGAACTGTTCAGCGGCCGTTAGGGTCAGCAGGTCGTGAACATTGTGCCAAGTGTGCTGAGAGACACGTCACGGATCAGGCTCGTGAAAAAGATATTTAATATCTTTAAGCTAAAAGTCATTAAGAGACGACCCCTCGAATAAATTTTGATAAACGTCGACCGATCGAAAACGTATAACAGGGGGACACTCGTATTCGCGCGTTTCTTCGGTCGCATCGATGAAATTGAAAACGCGCATGGAATTCGCGATCCTACGTGATTCTTGTTTCAATCCTATAGCTGCAATACGCACAATGGGAAATTCCGTTAACGTGCAACGAATGCTCATGTATACCGTGACGACACGTGTCGAGAGAATCGTGAAAGTGTATCTTACAGTGACTGTCGTATGTACACAAAGTTCAAATACGTCACAGCATATGTGAGAATATGCGATAAAATAGCGTGGACTGGAAAAAATGATAATTCAAACGAACCGTTCAATTTTTCAAAGCGACGCGGTCAACGAATACTCGAAATTGTAATTGACGTAACGATCAACGCGATTCACGCCAATTTACAATAGGACGTGTATACTGAAACGTCCGCAGCCGTCCAATAATGAATAGCTAGACTTAAGGAATTTTATAACGACCCCGATTCCGTGAATTTTAAGCGAGCCACGATTGACTTTTTGTAAATGATCGTCACTGCATTAATGATGTATTATATTATTACGTTTTATTTATACCATTGCGTTTGCTCATATTAAATCTAGTTACTCGATAACGTCACGTATGAACGCGTGTACCTGGTAAAGCGCGAGGAGACGGTACGGGTGATGTTGAGTGAAAAGGAAAATTGTATTATTTAAATTGGCAAAAATTCTACTACCAGACGCTTGTTGCCGTTGACTTGATTTTTAAAATGAAGGCAAATCAGGGCCAATGCGAAATAACCAATGAATCGTCCTGACCCATATGCTGGCGTCTGTACAGGAGTACACTGACCAGCTCAACATTTCAGCGGGAATTTCAAAGGTATCATCCCAAGAGATCACTTGGGTGATGCATAGGCCGGCATCAGTGCAGTGAATCGAACGAAGAATGTATACGAGATAAATCTCTAGTATCTTCGTGGTACATTCTTCGTATATAAATGATATAGATATATCCGAGGCGTAATATATTGTTCCACGTAAATCTACGTAATCCGCGTGGTGCGACTTTTACGATAAATTTTTTCTTTTTATATATACGTATATATATATATATCTCGTTAGATTAAATCATCGTATTATCTAGTCGCGCGGTTGAGCATTTAATTTTTTCATAATTGTCATTGCGTCGCGCGCAAGTCGATGCAAAATACGAATTATTTCGTACGTGTGTCGCGTATAATAATATTACGTCCGTTTTTGCTATACTTAAATATACTACCGGGTGTTTTAGATAGAAAGAGGAAAAAAAAAAAAAGAGCGATACCTTCCTACAGGGATAAACAATTTTACGTAATACCAGAGTTTTTCCAAATTTTTCTAATCATGGAAAAATGGATACCGTGGTCCATGACGTAATTTTGTTCGCCAGTCAATATAATTTTACGAAAATAAATTTTCTCGGCCCCTTACACCACAGCCTCTGCCCTACCCCTTTACTTGCGGTTGAATAATATTTAAGAGAATGCAAATGTGAAGATTCTTGTATAAAAGAAAAGAGAGAGAGAGAGAGAACACTTGTTGATACCTAATAATAAATTTATTATATTTAATTAAAAATATTGTCTCACCCCTGCAAATGACGAACGAACCCTGATATCCGAAAATCCCAAAATAATCCCGAAAATCCGAAACATCGTCAAATTTTTAATTTACCAACATTTTCATTAACGTGCATCGTCACCTCGTCCCTGGAAGTCGTCGCGAGCATTGGCCGATCGTTTTCATGTAACGGAGATTCCGGGGCGACCGGCGTGAGAATTGAGAGGAGACGCCAAAGGTAATAGAGCGTCGGCGCCGCTTTCGGATGACGCAGCCGCATCTGGACCGGAGCGTGACGCAAACGCAAAAGGCGATGCTGGCTAAAATCTAGGGAGAGAGGAGAGGAGAGAATCATCCCCAAGAGATATACGTATACACGTCCAGAGAGCAGAGGACCAGGACCGCGCAGTTTCCCTCTACGCTTTAACGGCGAAGCAGGGTCGTTATTGGGACAGTTCTGTATCGGAGCGAAATTTCGCGATATGTGAGTGCGCAAAAGTTATCGCGATTTAGAAGTGCCGTGAGAGTAAGAGAGAGAGTGAGAGAGAGAGAGAGAGAGATATTGAGAAAGGGTGAGAAAGAGAAAACGAGATAGAGAAAAGGGAGGTGAAAATTTACAAGGGCGGTTTTGGTGAGTTGACCTTTCACCCCTTTAACGCGAAATTTTGGCGTTCGCTTCTCGTGACCCATGTGTCATGCACAATGAAAGCCAACCACCTGTGAACGGCTGAAAGCTTCAATTTATCATAGCCGAAGGTAGGCGTATCATTAAAAGTAGCCCTTAAGGACAGTATTAGATATTTATTTTTTTCTTACATTCTACTACTATGTATGATAAGAGGTTATATCGATTCGTTTGTAATATTAAAGGAAAACATTCATTCGGCTGAAATTTTTCTTCTCTGATTTTGCAATAAGGGACATTTTTCATTTCACTATACCCACGAGTATCGGTTTTCGTATAGGTTACAGGTTAAAGGGTTAAAATAAATATTTCATGCTGAGGGGATATGAATATTTTTTTTTTTTTAAATACAAATTTCTAATGGAAAATACCGTGCATACTTTCTGCAGTGTATGAAACAATTTTTTTTTTTTTTTTTCAAAATTACGTAGTCACGAACTAGCTAATGGGATTCCATCGTTACTTTCTGTAGTGCGTCTTAAAATTCGTTCCACGTTTTAATCGGATAAACCGTTCTTTGTCCCCGCGAAAGTTCACAGCGTGAGAAAAATAAATTCAATCTGTTCGAGTAGTTCCATAAGCAGCACACCAATTGCACTGAATCGTTATTAATCCTACGGTACAAAAAAAAAAAGAACCCAACTTATCAAGGGCATCGTCCAATATTTTCCGTCTAATAAAAATTTTCCCATCTCAGTAAGTGAATTCCGTACTAGTTATCCCCCGAAAAAAATTCCTGTTCGCAGATTCAAAAGCTTCCTCGACAATTAACCCTGCTTGGTATGAAGTACTTAAAAGTTGCTCTCTTCACATTCAACCTACTGATATGGGTAATGAAAACCTATTTTCTTATCGAGCATTAATACCAAATTCAAATTTTAATCAGATTCTCCGGTTCAATAGTTGGCAGGATGTACGGTACTGGTTACGGGGATCTGCCTTTTGCTCGAACCAACCAAAGGCGACCTGCTCAATCTCTATGTACCAATTTCGACACCCCACGAAACCATTCACTTGGTAGCCTACAGCCTGCTCGGATTAGGATGTACAGTCCTGACAGTAGGTTTCTTTGGCTGCCGAGCAGCGTTACACGGTAGCCAATGCATTTTAGCCACTGTAAGTAATTCATTTACATTTTTTACCCTCAACCATACCGAATAACACAGGCGTACATAAGACTTGTAATAATCAAATAATCCATATGTTAATTCAAGTACATGAGCATGCTGCTTGCTCTGATAACAATGGAATTGATATCGTCCGCCGTGGGGGGATTTATGACGTACCGTATCTTATCCGGATTAGAGGGAAGACTCAGGGACAGACTTGCCGAACATTACGGACACGACCCCACCAGTGACATACCGTTCAGTCACAGCTTAGACTTTGCCCAATACAAGGTGCGTCAAACCCATTTACAACCGGGCAGAAATTCATTCATCGATCCTCTTGTTATCGTTGTTGAGCTGTTATTATCGTTTGTTTCAGTTCAACTGTTGCGGCATTCACGGGGACGGCGACTACAACGAAACCGCTTGGTGGCGGGACAGTCAAATTTCGGGAACCAGAAGACAGGTACCACTGACCTGTTGTGTTTTGCGAAATTCCGAGGTAATTTTTCAAAAATTATACCAGATCAACATTTTTTGACTTTTCGTCACTGTGACAAGGTTTGACGAAAATTTTTTTCTTTCGCTTTTTTTTTCTTATCCAGGACAAAAATACCGGCAGCCCTATGAGCGTGGTGGCGAGAGTATTTCACAAGCACGTGAGTAGGAATTTTGAAAAATTACCCTTTTATCCAATTATCGCTTTTTATCCCATAAACGCACTTTTCTTTAGTACGAGAAACCTTGGCTTCATCCGCAACCCAAAGACGAGGCTGCATGCCAAGTCGAGGAATTGGACGGACACGAAGGATACAGGCACAAGACGGTAAAGTATCAAAATTTCATCTCGATATTTAATTAATTAATAATGCTCAATTAAAAAGTCATCGTCAACTATTCCTTACGTAATTATATGTTTATATGTTAATTATAATATATCCGTGTATTTTTATAACGCACACAGGGTTGCCTCGAGAAAGTGTCAAATTGGCTTCAATACGAAAGCTTCACGTTCGTATTCCTTGGTATGTTCATGGCAGGCTTACAGGTACGCATAACAGTAATAATAATAATAATTCCTGCATAAAATTATTTATCCAAAGCGCAAAGTAAAAATATGCCATTATAACTTTTCAGACGTTTGGTATAATAACGTCAGCGTTTCTATGCAGAACAATAAGGGACATGCAGATTGATTAACATCAGATGAGACTATGCACATTTTTGTATAGTCAGCACAGAAATCGTAAGAGAGACATACGAGCTGGAAAAGCATATAGTACCTAGTTTGTAAAAAAAAAAAAAAAAAAAAAAAAAAAAAAAAAAAAAAAAAAAAAAAAAAAAAAAAAAAAAAAAAAAAAAAAAAAAAAAAAAAAAGGGAAAAAAAAAGAAGAAAAAAAAAAAAAAAAAAAAAAAAAAAAAAAAAAAAAAAAAAAAAAAAAAAAATTAAACAAAAAAAAAGGGAACTACTGTAACGCCCATTTAAAAGGCTTGAAACGTAACAAGCAGCAAATAAAAAAAAAACGCGATTTTTGATTGAATCCATTGCATGACGATTTTGCATAACATAGAAAAAAAAAATGAAGCGTCAGATTGTATCTAAATAAAACCCGAATCGTATTTAATTATCGGGGTCCTGTGCGAAAAGTACGAATATTTTGAAAGCTATCCCAAAATCCGTATATCGAGTATATATGTATATCGGGTGAAAAAAAAAAAAGTAAGTGCGGGACCGAATTTCATTGATTACACTTAAGTCCTCCCGTCCTCACATGTATATTCAGTTGTAAAATGTATATCACGCAGGAAAAGAAAAGCATGGCAAAAGAAAACAAAAAGGACCTGAGTCGTGTTCAATGTGATAAGAAAAAAAATTTGCAATTATTAAGGGTTAAGGGATTGCAGAATAATTAGATCGTCACGCGGCACTTCGATGCACGAAAAATTAAAAGGTCGAGATTGATAATGATAAACGACGCAGAGGATTTGAGTGCGCGTCAATACTGATAAGAATAATTTTTTCGATTTTGAGATAATTTGTAAATATATTTATTATCGTGTTAATGCAAATAATTAAAGCGCCCACGTGACGAGGCGCGCGCGCGCGCGCCTTCAAGGCCAATTAAGAATTTCAAAGGTTTATCGTTTCAAAAGCGATATTATTTTTTCATACAGCGGGCTCGTATATATTTTCTACGCTATTCTATTCATTTCTATGGACAGTCGGTACGGAGAAGATACGTTTGATAATATTATATATGTATATGTAATCTCGACATTTTTGCGCATTGTCAAGTTTTATAGTCGTATGAATAAGTATTGGCCGAGGTAGGGCTAAATTTTGAGTGTCAATGTAAACATGAGAAAAAACTTAATAAATAATGTTCTCCGTGTATCTATCCCGAGTAAAAATTATTTAGTGTGCAGTGATAATGGAGTTAGATTAGTTATATGTATATACATATATACAACTATAGTCAATAAGACTATTTAATCTACAGGCGCAATTCCAAACTGCATAACGAAAATGTTCCACGAGTCTATATTCGTACAGTTTTTGCTATAGAAGTACAGCTCTCATTCTGGTCGCGTATACATACGTCTATTGCGAGTAGAAAAGAAAGAAAAAAGTATAAAAATTCACTCACCACAGGATCTTCGTCTTTTTTTGGATTTTCCTTTTCTTGTTTGGAGGTCCAGCCGGTCCTTCGATATTCCAAGTCCATTTGAATCGATTTGGCACTTGTGGTTGTTATTGCACTCGCGTGTTTTAGGATACGCACTAATTATATGCTTATTAGTAATAGTAAACACCCGGATTTTCGCGCGATACCGAATTACTGCGATGCACTTACTTCAGTGAACTGATATACCGTGTTACGTATTTTTGGAAGTGGCGGTAAAGGGTAGAGGTATAGGAAGTGATGGTGTGAAACGGGCTTAAGGCCCGAGGCGGAAAGCCTAAGAAAAGATGATGGTACAGATAGGGAATAATTGTTACAAATATTACAATCGACATAGGACTAATGCAAAGGACCAGTTTTCATATTAAGCAGTCCAGGGTGCGGAAACACGTAATCGGGGCCAACCCCTATGTTGGTCCAGCTGACCGACACCGAAGTAACCGCTGACGGGTGTGACGCAAGGGCGAGAGGGCCGCGAAGGGGATTCCGACCTTCGACAGACTTCAGTCGCGGACGCGGAGCAACGAGAGACCGGAGTAAAGACTTTGACAAAGAGAGAATCACGTGAAAAGGCCTGGACTAAGCAATGGGGCTGCTTGTGTCGCGGAGTCAGAATACGGGAGGAAAGGAGCCAGGCTATGGAAGGCGCGATCACCCCTGGCCGCCGTCACTGCCCGCCGCACATATTTGGCCAGGGCAGGTTAAACCTAAGAAACGGCGCTCGCCTCCGAAGACGAACCCTGTTAACCGTCAGAGGCTGATTAGAAGTTTACTGTGATATCAAAGTATTACCGCGAAGAAGGTATAGCCCAGCGGAAGAAATGGGGAAAATAGGTAACACAAAGAAATCGAAAGAGAGATAGACGGGTTGCGTTGGAGCAAAAGAGAAGCAGTGAAAAGTATACTTTACATGAGAGATGAGAAGAAGAAGATATGATGAATGAATCACAAGAGTGATCAAGGAAGAGGGGAGCAAGGTAGAAGGGAAGGACGGAAATCGAACAGCTCGATAAAGGAGATCGACCCCTGGAAGACTGAAGCCCGCCTCGACCGATCCTTCTGCATACCAGTCGGTATCCCTTCCAACTCAAGTGCTAATCGTCAAGTGCTGCCCTCCTGCGACGAACTTTCCAAACACTTTCCAAACCCACTTTGAATGTATAATTTCACTCGTCATCCAGTATTTGGAATACAAACACAATACAAAAGTACAATCATCTTTAGTTAATTATGCGTAATCATACACTGGCAATGGGTCCTGGTTTGACAAGTGCTGCACTGTAAAGCGGCAAACTTTGGAACTACGTACCAACATTTGATGTTAACTCAAAAGATCATGGGAAAAAAGTTTAGCCGAAAATAAAGTATTTCCTGAAAATAATACTCGTGTTCCAAGTTATTTATATGGACTTTGTGTTTGTCACCTTAAATATATTACGTTATAATTTTATTGACACTGCAAACAGAATTATAAAGTTTAGTTACGTTTTGGTTGTGTCCATCAACGACAGATGGTGCAATCGCAAATTACATTTTCGTCTGGTCATGCTAACTATAATTAACTCTTGGAAATTTATATTCCCTGTAGAACAATTTCATGGTTGTATAAATTGCATATAATATGGAAGAATATCTCCTGAGAATATTAATAACACACATAAGCCAAGTAATTAATGTTCCATTATTTCGTATTCCTTATAATAAACGGACAGTACCCATTCACATTAGAATTTATATATCATAAATCAATAAACATAAAATCTTTAGTATAAACAGTATAAACATCCTTTGAGCAAGGTATAAAAACGATCACGAGGTATTCCAGTAAACTGACTAATTATAGTGATCGAAATATTAAAAATTATAGATAACAATACAGCAATACGACGATTCTTGAATTTCCATCGTCTACAACGATTTTATCATCAGTACACTCTTAATCGTGAAAATATACATCACGGTCATTCAATTTTTGTACTGGTCTCGAATTCAGTCGCATAGGCCCATCCGTCGAACAGATCTTCCGAAATTGAGCAACCTGCAATTAAAAAAAAATGAGGTCATCAGCAATAAAAATAATTGCACAACCATATTGCATCATACGATCCACCCTGACACGACATCAATTATGAACAATGAAACTAAATTCAAACTTTAATGATCAGATTTCATCACAAACCGATAATGATAAGGAAACTACTAGTGCAATTCAAAATAATTTCTCACGTGACAGCCTTATCGCGAAAACCATTGTTACTAATCAGATTGTTACACAACAATAAATAATACCCTGATAAAATCCGATATTCACAGGATCTTAAATATCCAGCAATTTATGACAGGCAATAAAAAGAATGCCAATAAAAATGCACGACAAAGATGTTAAAAAGTCATGTCAATAAATTAAGCGATTTCAATTCACCTGACTGGAGGAAACCGCTATCGTTTCTGGTTGGATTATCCAGATAACAACTTCGCTACAGGGTGGCTGCGTCAGAGAGCCACTGTAACTATAGTAATTTTTCTCGAATGGCGGAAATATCCATTCCAGTGGAAATGGCGGTATATACACCCTGGTTCCAGGATTAGTGACCCGCCATAAATTTGTTATCACGTGGTCCAGATACGGATTGTCGACATTGGTAATCTGAAAAAGCCAAGACGTAAGTATAACTTAAGAACAGTAAAAGTTTACCTTTCTCAAACTTACTTCAAAGAAGTATGAAATTATCAAAATACTTTCCCTCGTATCCATGATATTCGTACGGTTTTCATTTACGCCACGTCTCAGATGCACCATTTGCATTTCCATGGGATACCTCACGTAATCTATGGTGTGTTCGCTGCCCTCGTTATCAGATGGTCCCCAATGGAAAACCATTGAGTGACAGTCATAGGCACTGCACAAAGATCCTCCCTGAATGCATGGCTGTATACCACGTGGCCAAAATCCGCAAACCGACACTGAAAAAGTCATATACAATGTGTCAAAAATATACAAAACTTTCAATAAGACAATTGCACTATACGAATCACTATAGTAGTAGAACCAACAGTACAATAAAAGAAGTCGATATCGATTACGCGTCACTAGCTTCCCGTATCTTCGATAACATTATCAATAAATTTACCATCATATCCATTTCTATAAATAATTATCAGGCTCGACTGACAAGTGTCTTATCTATAAATAAATCCTGCCGTACAATTACTGGGATTTTAATGAAATTCAATTTCTCGAAAATTTCTTCCATACCAGTTCGTAATAACGCGGTTATAAGACCGATAATAAAGATAATAATCTCATAGGCGTAAAGCAACTTTATCCGAGTCCCAAAGGCGCAGCACTGGTACCGCGTGTCAAGGACAATTGATTCGAGCAATGAAATATATCTTAGACCACAAGCCTAACCACCTCAAGTCCAATCCTCACGTTTGATCCGGTGATATTGCGTGTAGACGTCAGCAGGCTAATTCAGCGCTGCAGATATAGTTAGTAATACAAAATCGATATCGGTAATTGACGTACCGCTATTTCCATCGTTTGCCATTGTCATGAACACAGGCTGCGTGCGATAGCCGCTCCATTTGAGGGGTTCACTAAGCTGCACCACTATAGCGGATCGACTTGTGATGTTAATTGGAGATTGGTTGGAGCCTCCGCTATGGGGATAAGTCTTTTTCCAAGTATGAGGTCCATTGTGACTGGCATAACCAAATGGTAGGATATGATCACCCGATGGACGATGATTGTTCGCTGATAAGAATAATTGGCTCCAATCCACCATTTCGGTCAGGAGCAGCGCTTAACACGTGGTTATTTTAGTGAATGGATTTATGACGAGAAAATTATGGGAATTATGAAAATTTTATATTCACGATCTTAATAATACGAAAATTTGAATTGGGTTATTTTAGCATACCAATGAGAAGAACGCTGCCGCATATCACTAGGAATTCTGGCAATGAGAATTCTGACATTTTTATCGACAGAATTTCAACGGCGACGATCAATGTGCATGAAAGGCATTTGCATTCGTTGAAGTTTTCCTTATGCACCTAAGTATTCGCTGGGATTTCACTTGATAATTTTCATTGTCTCGAAAATCTTTTGGCTGTCAGTTGCAATTGGTTCTATGGAAACGACGAGGTTGGGGTTGATGACTTTCGCTTGTCCTGGGTGAAAGGAAAGATGGATCGCTGGGGAATTGATTAATCATCGTTAATATACGTGGCCGACTTCACGTAATAACTTTTTTTTTTTTTTAATAGATGTCAATATACACAATCGCAAACGTACTGTGTAATACTTTTATTTCTGACATTGCGAAGTTTCACAGCGCCTCTAGCGCTCTTTCGTGGAACCAAAGTAATACGCGCCCGTCAAAATTATATGAATAAAAAGTGAAAATTATCTAAAATATTTTTCCAAATTTCAATGTAGGAATAAGAATAAATTAAAACTTTTTTTTTTACTTCAACGCGTGAACTATACTCGACGCTTTCCTTTCTTACTGAATACCAATTAATTGTAATAAAATTTACTTAAACAATTTAAATGAAGGTCATCGATCACGTCGACGTATAAAACATTAAAGATAACGATGCTCGTTATCAGATAACCAATCAATTAATCATGCACCCATAAAGCCAGACGTCATCCGGCAAAGATGCATTGCGAGTTCAACGATCACAAAAGTAATAACTAATTAAAAATTTATCAACGTCACTCTAATTACTTCGATAAGCTCGTCGATAATCCTTCGAGTAATAAATTAGAACCAGTCATTCTTCACATCTCATTAGACGCGTCGCATCGATTTAAAAATCGATCATATCATAAATAAGGCAAACAGTCAGCTATATTTACCAAAGATCAATCGCATTGAGTCAACATACGTTTCTCCGTGCGACCTAAAAAAAAAAAAGGAAAAGAATTGTTATTTAAAAACTCGCTTCAAAGGCCATACCTGATCAATTTGATATTCGTTCGAATAGACGAATCTAAAATAAAAAATGTAATAAAAATTTTCATTCTCAAATTTATAACGCGATCGGCGTCAAAAATTCCTATCCTATCGAACACATGGGCATTATTGAATAAACATAGAAAATCGATACAATCATATAATACATTGTAATCCGATAAGAGTGTCGACAGACTCAAACTTGGAAACAATATCAGCAGACAGGTATCTGATATAAAAAATATTTATCAGTCACACCACGTGCTCTCGTGACCTTCAATTAATTAAATCTGAAATGTGAATCGAAAAATAACTTATTTTTAACTAAAGTCAACACACGTGTCAGTAAAACTTTGGATGACTCCTCTTCTACCATTGGGAACTGGAAATGGTAATACAGAAGGGTTCGTGTCCGGGCTATAGGAACTTGTGCTGGATCGATAAAGCAGCGAATAATATTTAACGGGTGCACAAGATATACCGGCAGCGAGTCAATGCCAGGACCATAAAATATTCATATGCATTCACAATCGAGCTGCACTGTTTCTGTCGTGCCTTTCCCACTGTTATGGGATTCTACAAATCACGTAAAAACATTTGCCCCGCGCTATCGCCATTGCGCACCATACAGAGCAAACTGTTTTACAATACCAGAGAAAGGCACGAAATTCCCTGTAATTGAATAATCAAAAGACGGCCGGGATCCAGTCGTTCGTATAGCGATTGCGCAACTTGAGAAAGCCTACGGCAAGACGTCACAACGTAACTTCGTCTTATCGTGTCAATATTTGCAAGTACATGTAAATCTATGGCTGATGGTAGCGTCGGAGATAACTTTTATAAAAAGGATGCTGAACGATATCGCGTGTAATCAAAGTACGAATTTTCTTTTTTCCAATCGAGTCTACCGGGTGAAAGAAATTATTTTCCAAATTCAATCGCTTTGTCTGCATTCATTTCGAAATTACGTGATACCGTTTTTTTTTAATTAAAAAAAAAAAACATAATTTGAATTAAAAAAAGTTATTAACACGCTTAAAGTTAGCAGGTTCGCCGAAGCTGATTGTAATTTTCTAAAAGTTTTTTCAAAAATTCTACTCCAAAGCTAACGCACGTGACAGAAGGATTTGCAAACTGACAAAAGTACCGTGACACTGATAAAGCGTGTCACGAGCAGGGATTATCACGGAATTCTAACACAGATAACGATCGTCGATCCGATATCGCACATACAGTATATAAGGTGTAACGTATCACGTGCCGGCTCAGTCTCGAGACTTCGCCATCAAAGCAAGTACCAAGCAGTACTTAAACTCCGTGTGTAATCCATCGAGTACATAGCAAAGGTGATATTCTGAGTAATAATTAAATTTTGATTTTGAAGAGTAAAAGCGCTGTGATCCGTAGACTATATAAAAAAAAAAAATTCAAAGTAGACACTTCGACATCAAAAATTATTTTTAAAAACTAGATCTAGCATTGCCTGCATATTTTTTCGAAACAGTATCCACCTTTTGAAGAAATGTGAGAATAAAAAAAAAAAGTGTTAAAAAACACGTGACTTAGCCAACGAATGATAACTGTGCAAAGATACGAAGGAATGATCGACGATCGATAGGATCTTTATGGTTCCGATGATCGAGTATTTAATGTTGGATCGTTTGAATTGCAGTTATTCGGCCAATCGTAAATATGTCAACGAGCAAAGCACGCGCGTTGCAAAACGGACGCAGGGACAAATTGAGGCGCGTCGTCGGCCGTAAAATTGCGCGGCCTACGCCAGGAATCGAGTGCTGTAAAATTTCCTGCAGAGCTGGTGAGTACCACTCTGTATACGGTTTTACATGGTACCGTGTCCTTGTTTTACAACGCGAGTCAGAAGAGGATAGAAATTGAAATTCCATCGATGTAAAGTGTTTACGAGAAGTGATTAATTGTATGTTAAAAGAAAAAAAAAAAAAAAAAAAAATAGGCGGACAGCATGAGTCACCCTGTGCGATTATTGGCTTTGCGTCAATATTGACGATACGCGAACCCACGTCGTAAGGTCGCGTCTAATAGACGCTAATTCGAAACGTTATCGCTTAGCATGATTCGACTAATTTAAAGTAATTAGGATAACGATGGGATTCGATCGAAATTATTACACTTTGTTCCTTATCATGCAGGACTTCGTTCCTCGAAAGCCAACAAGAGGGCAGCAGAGAGTAACAAGAAGGAGATAAAGGAGTTGGTTCTACACGATGGTACTATGTCCCACATAATAATTAAGCAATTACTTGATATTGGTAAAGAAAAAAAAAAAAAAAATTCTTAAATTACAATTATTTTTACAGAATCGCCAAAAGGTCAATCACCCGTGGATCTAGCACCGACTGACATGGCACGTAACGAACAATTTCCCCCATTAAAAATGACTGGTCATTGGACACCTCTTGGTCGTGCTTATTTGTACAATACTGGTAACACCGGTACGTTACGTAACCGTCAAATATATATATATGTGTATACTAAAGTGCCTTAAATTGTTTGATCACTCCTAATCGCGTGTTACGTAACATCTCGAATTACAGCCGAGGTCAGGCTGAGCTTAGACAGACCGCCTGGAATTATATCCGGCGGACCTCTGAAGGACGAATACGAATTTCTGCAGCTGCACTTTCATTGGGGCAACAGCAATTGTCACGGAGCTGAACACTCGATTAATGGGAAATTGTGCGTAATAATATTTTGTTGTTTCACGAGCGTAACCGCTAAAGTGACGACTCATCGCGGGAAAATAATAATATTTGCCACTGTTGTTGCAGGTTCTCAATGGAGGCTCACGCGGTTCACTTCAACAAGAAGTACGCGTCGTTCGACGAATGCCTGGAGAAGCCCGACGGTATCGTAGTAGTGGGATATTTCATGCAGGTAGTTGGGGACGACACGCGAACCGAGGATCATCCAAAATTTGCGAAAATTACAGACCACCTTCCGGACGTGGAGGAACCAAACAGCAAAGCAGAATTGGATCATGGTGGGTACCCAAATTGATATTGCATAATTGAATTAAAAAATTTTAATAATTAAAAAAATTTTGCAAATTTTAGATGCCCTCGTGTGGATGAAGCAAGGACGCTGTCTTTGCAGTGGATATTACACGTATCATGGATCACTTACGACACCACCCTACAAGGAATGCGTCACCTGGATTCTATTTCCGGATCCCATAAGGATCACCAGGAGGCAGGCAAATGCGTTCCGTAGTCTCAAGTCACATTCTGGCGATTGCATAACAGCCAACTTCAGACCGGTCCAATGCCTGAATGGACGCACTGTATTCTTTGGCAGTTAATAATTTGGGAAGTTGAATTTCAATGCGAACATTATTAATGTTTATTTGGCTCTAGTCAACATCCACTTCCGTTATCACATTCTACCAAGTAGAGAGCACCGATCTTCTATACTGTGTATAAACGATTGATTATTTATCTATTTAATTACATATACCCTTACTGTTAGTTAAAAATGTTGTTTACCATGTTCTTTACCTTCGCAAAAACAATCTAACGATGGGTATCCTAACCTGAATCTCCTACATTTAGAATTTTGACAGAAGAGAATACAAAAAAATTTTAAATCCCATCAACGTTCACTGCATGTACAATAGAAAAATTTCAGTTAAAAAATGTCTCTTGAAAAAGTGCCTAAACGAAATAACAAAAAATCAAGTGAGCAACGACCGATAATTATTTTATTCAAACTGATTAATTATCCAGATTGATTCAAATTTCACAATCGTCATTGACGCACTGTCATGTATCATCTACGCGACTATGGCATTATCAAGAATTATTATATGGAAACGATAATTAGATTCTACATATTTAATATTGATGATAACATGAGATTTACGCGATGACACGTTTTGATTGATGATTTGCGTTATTTATCTAGAAGAAAACGAAAATACACCTCTTTCCACCTCGTCGTCCGGCACACCAAAATGGAGACAGTCGCCGATCGACTTAAATAGTATTAATACATGGACAAAAAAGTATTCCCCATTATTACTTAACGGCTATTGGCTAAACGAAGGTATAGCTACCCTTACAAATACTGGACGAACAGGTAATAATAAATGTGAGCATGTACAGTCTAAAAAGCGAACAGAGAAATGTCTTGTTCCTCTTTGAAATCAAGTCAAGATCGAATTAGAAGACAGGAAGCTGCCACTCATGACGGGTGGCCCATTGAAAGATCAAGACTACCAATTCATGAATATACAATTTCGTTGGGGTGCAGAGAACTGCTGTGGGGCCGAACATTCAATTGACAATCATTGGTATCATAATTGAAATTTGTGAAGTTACAACTTTTTTCTTCATTTACAAAAATCTACAATCTTTACAGGTATTCCATGGAGGTTCAAATACTTCATTGGAATACTCAATACGGTTCAATTGAAAAGTGTTACGATAAGTCAGACGGAATGGCCATTCTCTCATATCTAATACAAGTACGAGTAATAACTATTTCATATCCCAGGATGCATAATAATCCGCCGTGCCCAAATAATAACGAATTATCTGTCAAAAATCCTCATGGGTCTGTATCCAATGTCGTAATAACTTCAGGTCGTCGGTTGTCCCGGAATACCAGACAATCCAATGTTTGCGAAAATAACTCAGCATCTGCCAAGAATCAAGAAGATGGGAAGCAGCGTCAACATCGGACCTGGTAATTAAAAAAAAAATATACACAATGATAATTATCTAGGTAATTAAAGTTTTAACAATTTTTGAATCAATATTTGTTTGCGTTCGCACTATATACTCACCTATAATATATACTGTAATTATCAGGCCAAAGGTAAGGGGGTCAACGGTTGTTATACAATGCCATATAATTCGATCGATCAGTAGCTTTATAACTCCAGGCTTTATAAGCTACCCTTAACGTAAGGGTAGAAATGTAGGTCAGTCTGGTCCAAGTTACAAACGTTTGTCGCTTTATTAGATTGTTTACGGTGGATGATGGAGGCATGTTCAGAACCTGGTTATTATACTTACTTGGGTTCTTTAACGACACCACCTTATCACGAATGTGTCGTTTGGATCGTTATACCAAGACCGATTAAAATATCTGCACGACAGGCACGTTATTCGATCATTTCATTATTTTCCTAGTAACTTACTCAGCTTGACCTCTTATTGTGCAGATCGATGCCTTTCGAAATATTTATGATAAAAAATGGGAGCCTATCGTGAGAAATTACAGGTGTCAACAAAACCTTCGTAGGAGACGAGTGTTGTATGCCAGCAATAGTGCTGTTGCTTAAAAAACAAATTTATGAAATAATCAACTGTTTTCCAATTCTAATAAATATCCAAGAACGTTCTAATGTTTCAAATGAATAAAAGAATAAAAATGATGTCAATCATATATCAGGACATTATGGACATATAATTTAATAAATTATCACAATTTTTTGACTAACATATAATTTTAATAAAAAAACGAAGGTAAATAGGTGACGAGATAACGACACAGGATAACGTAATGAGTAAGTCTGTAGCTTGTTATGAATTATAATGACCTCTCTAACTGAAAGGCGTAATGTCAGTGACTCATGGAAACTCTAATGCATAATTCATTAATGTCTTTTACATCAATTTTTAAGATCTTCCGAAATATGGACAATCGCCAATCGATTTAGATAACAGCATTGTACATGCTGTGAAATACCCACCGTTAATTTTGAATGGATATTGGCTTAACGAGGGAGAAGCCACATTAACAAATAATGGGACAACTGGTTCGAAGACTCTAACAATAATACATTACAAGCTTGGAGATATTCTTTGATTAACTATTATTTATTATCAAAATATGTTTTAGCAATGGTCACGCTAAGTGGTGACAGGATTCCGTCGACGATAACCGGTGGTCCACTGTTTAATGAGGAATATGAATTACATAATGCACATTTTCATTGGGGCAAGGAAAATTGTAACGGGGCTGAGCATACGATCAATGGCACTTGGTAGGGAATTCTTTGTGAAAACTTCAAAGCACCACACATCAGTTAATCCGGTACTACATTATACATATAAAAAAGCAGGTTTTCCATGGAAGCACATTGTTTACATTGGAATCGAAAGTATTTGACTTTTGAAGATGCTGAAAAGCATAAAGATGGTCTTGTAAAGCTTGGGTATTTCTTTTTGGTACGCATCATCATTTATAATATTAGAATTTTTCGAATTATATTTGTTTTAGGTTAACGGGAACAATGAATGGGATAATCCTATGCTTCAGAAAATCACAGATAATTTAATGTATATTGTGGAAGCGAATAGCGAAGTGAAAATACCAGCCAGTAAATGAAAAATGTTTTAGTAGAAAAAATATAAGGATTTTGGTAATACCTAGGATTATTTATAGATTCTTTGTGTTGGGTACGGGAGGCTTTGCACAGTCCAGGATATTATGTTTACTATGGCTCTAGAACAACGTGGCCATTCAAGGAGGGCATAATATGGATAATTTTTCCAATCATCTTATCGGTCTCAGCTAATCAAGTAAGGTTTCATTTTAGATAAGCTTCATGTATTAATTTATGTTATTGTTTACTTCAACAATTTTGTTATTAATAGATGGATGCTTTTCGGAAACTCAAGAATGGAGAGGGTAAATGCATATTATCAAATTGCAGATGCATACAGTTACTAAGAGGACGGAAAATATTTTGGGCTTTAAATTCAATGTAAACGTAAACTTAACTAATTTAATAAAAAATGGAACTATATGAAAGTAGCATTGCAAACTATTTTTTATAATCACAATAGATATTTACAAAATGTCTTATTTATATTACAATTACAATATACTGTATCTGTATTTTTCTATTAATTTCTTAGTAACAACGATTTACTTAAAAATATTGAGAATGTTTTATCAATGCGTCTACTTTTTGTTTAAACAGTTCACTTTGAATTGGTTCATTTAATTGGCAAAGTGGGTTTTTTACCACATACTCCAAATAAACCTGCAATCGATAATTTCTTGGCATGTCATACAGTGCTTCAGCATGTACGATGTTAACATTCAAATTCTAAACAAAGTTACTTACCTGGCTATACAGTTGTTGAAGTAGACCTCTTATATTTTGGGCACCATTGTCAGTGTTAAGGACAAACTTTAATCCAGATGGTGTTTCCAAGTAATGTAGCGTATACTTGCTTGTTTTATAATATAGAAATCCCTCTTTTGGATCCAACGGTGAAATTTTGCTCACAAACGATTTGATTGAAAACAGCATTCCATACATCAACTTGGCCTCCTAATATACAAAAAAAAGAAATACAAAGGTAAGTAAAAATGTGCCTTTGTCTCACACTGTTCACCTTACAAATATAAAAAATGTTCACTGAGCCTAATAATTCTAAAGTAATTATTTTATGGTTGATATTCTCATTTCATAGTTAAACTTGACATTTTGATGGTTAGAAATGTTGAGTGAAACGTTAACTCAAATATCTTGTGTGTATTTTTCTGTCACTCACCTCTTCCATCGTGATTCCTGATTTGTTGAGTCTATTCCACTCCGAATAGTATAATAACGTGCCATTCCTCGAAAATATGTACAAATTGTGAATCGTCATATCAAACTGGTGACAGTTCCCAACGTTCCAATGGTATCTTGGTATATTTTAGACCCGCACGACACTACATTTAAAGCGGCATTTATGTGTTCTACGCTCACATCACTTTACCGTATAAAGATACAATCCCACATCACAAACAACACTTCAAAACACTAACTTCCGACACTTTTAATAATAACGAAACTGACACTTGGCTATTATAAAATGAACAAAATAAGGAGGGTACTGATCATGTTGCATTTTAACCGTTGACTTAAACGGTTTAATATTTTGAACACATAATAATTATCGTCGATAAGTTACCGACCAACGTTAACAAAAAAAACTTGACACTCACAATTCAACATGGAACGAGAATTCAATAACGAAATCGAATTGCAATTAATTACAAAAGTAACGTAGTAAATTATTATCAAAATGGTCAAAACAAAGCCACTGAATTCCACGCAAATTCTCCATAGTCTCCCAACCATCTATCAACCCTCTCATGAAGATATATTTGAATTTACGTCCACTACAAACAAACAGACCGAACCCAGGATGTTATTTCATCCTGGTTATCGAGTTTCCTATACACCGTAGCGTAAATGTCAACTGAATAGTCAAACTTACATTATTCCAAAGCACGGTTTAACGGTCGACCGCAAAATGGCGTTTTCCATGCAGCGTCGTCCTCCGCTGCAAGTTTAGGTATGCTCGTCACGCCTGATGGAGCTATTTGTTATATGCGAATATACGACCCTCCCTACGTATGCCAGATAATCGGAAGAAGCTCGATTTATTGCATGATCGAAATCCAAGGTGGCGCCGCGAGGCGGTACGAAAATCTAATGTCTTTTCCTACCGCGACATTAAATTCTCATACATAACTGGGCGTGTCAGCTATGAACTTTCTTGATTAGAGAAGCGCACAAAACTTTTAATTATCTGTTTCCAATATTGTAGCCACCCGCTTTGAAGAGTCACTCATAAAAAAACAAGATAAACACGAAGCATCGTAACCGTATCTCGTACTCGCTTCGCTGTTCGTGCTACTCGAACTCGATGTAGATCCCGTTTAAACGAAGCGACAAAGTAAACTAAAAAAAAAAAATAATAATTCGAATCAAATAGATAAAAAAAACCGTAAAACAGAAAAGTACGAAACTAGGTACCAGTAAGTAAATGCAAAAATTACAAACTGCTCGTGCTGTCTCCAAGGAGTATTTAGCATTAACTTTTGAGTTTGCTTGACTCTTTCTGCTTCTCGAAAAAAAAAGCAGAAAGAAAGCCAGAGAAAAATATAAAAGCATAGCCATAAAAAAGGAAGGATAGCCGAGAACTCCGTCCACGTTAATTGGTAGAGCAAACCGCCCCGAGCTCGAACATTCGTTTCGTTTCGGCTTAATCACGCTTCACCAATCACTGACAATGTGCTACCGACGAAAACAAAACGCGTTCCAGAGATAATGGTATGAGGTAAGCTTGTACAGGAGCTACCCCCCACATATAGAACACGTGCATATGTACCTGTATACGGTGAAGTGTAATCGGTTAACGATTTCTTCATATATTTCACAACAGGCCCATCCCTCGCTATCGTTGATTGATCGATTGCACGTTAGAGGCCAGCAGTAGCGTCCTTATCGTAATTTTACGCAAACATTTTCCAAGATTTATGTTCGACGTTGGGATTTGTTTGGGCGATACCGTTATACGTTCTCTGGATGGACAGGTGTATGTATACTTATCGTTATTCCATATACCACAGAAGCATCACCTGGGACTATGACAGATGCCATAAGATTTTACATGGCTCTACATAAAAACGAAAGGGACACCTTTAGTACGATGATACAAGGTAACATTATACATCACACGTAATTAACTATAGTGATAAATAAAAAAAGAAGTATATAATATAGACAAGAAAATATAATACGATGATTTATGTATACTATTTTTTTATAGCAATAAAATATAATAGTTACAAAAAAAAAATACAGTTTTATTATATAACACTTTAATATGAAAAATATCACAAAAATATATATAACAATTCATAACAACGAGTACACCCAGCGTAGTTCCCTGGATAATAAATTTCATTATAACCGTTATCAAATATTCAAATATCATAAAGTCATCAAGCCTCCTATCCACCTAAGTGGATATTGTGATTGAATTGACGCATGCGACAGCATTTAAAAATTCACATCTCGCGATGACCTGGTTTTACCCATGATCGACTAACGTATCCGACAATTTTAGAGAATAGTTAGAAATTCTAATCTTATCACGCTAATCGTCGTTCGTCTTATCGCAAGAAAAGAAATTCACGTGTATCACTAAAACGATCGTGTCCCCTATTCACATATATACATATTACAGTAAGACAATGCGTAATCCAAGTAAATTATTCGCATGCTCGTTCCACAAGGAAGCGTGACGTCAGGACGCAACGTAATCTACGAATCTCCCCTGACGATAACATCGAAAGGTGAAAATATGATTTATTGATTCGATTCAAACTAAACTCAAAAGAGGCTGGAATTTCCTTTTTCTCACCACCTTTAGAAAACTTCAACCCCCAATCTGTACCATATATATATATCTATATATCTACGATTCGTATATATATTGTATATCTACTAAAATATGCTTACATAATATATTTCATTAATAAAATCTTATACTGTATATATATATATATATATATATATATATATATATATATATATATATATATATATATATATACATCTACACACTAGTGTCTGATTATACCCCACGAGTCTCCTTTAAATTTACAAAAGCTACGGATCTATACCTTCAGATCCAGTGGTTGAGAACCGACTGGCTAAATCGTCCCTTATTTCCCTCAAATCTCCATAGTGAATTCGCAGTGCTTTCCTATTCAAATGATACGCTTCGTTAACGATTCAGGTGTACGTACCCACGTGAATGATACTAACCTATAATATATATACGACTAACGCGCATATTGAAACAGACAGATGGACAATACTGTACACAGCCTGAGAATAATTCCCTGGATGACTGTACATATCCCTTTGATGACAGTCAGTGCTCCTTAGTCGCTTGACATTCTGACGCTGAATATTGTACAGCACAGTACACACTTGGTTAAAGGGAATAGGTAATCGTTGAAGGATCTTAAGTGCGTTTTAAGCAGCTGAGTAAAATAAGGGTATCGCGTTAATAAAGCCAGCCGAGTATTTCGACACGGTGGCCTCGCGAGAACAAGGAGCGTAATAAGCGGGTTTCATCGACGTACATTATGATTTATAGACTTTAATATGGCCAGGTTTACCGCGCGGGGAACCTCGCCGGGCAAATATTTTTCTAGTCTGTCCTCGCTTTGTTTTGCTTGAATATTCATCCCGTTATCAGTGCACGTGTACGATTATGAATATGAGTATAGAAAATGATGTCAGACAGGTCTGACAATCGAAAAAAGAAAAATCATTATCGTATCCTCAATGGGCGAAGATATTCAAAACGAGATTTACGATATAATCCTCGTATTTGCTGAATCCAGGATAAAATTTGTATCTGGGAAGCTGTCTGCGTGAATCCGGTGTATCAGACTTCGTAAAGCTTCGATCCGCAGAAGGTATAGAGATATATAGATACAGTATAGATAACTAAGCAGAGACATAGATTGATAGGTATTCCCGTGTATACACGCCATACAGTGTGTTTCATTATTCGGGGATGTACGTGTATATGAAATGATAAGACCGATAACTGATTTATGTGGCGTGAATGGGATAAGTGTATTCGAATCGAATAACTGTATTTGGTAAGTGAGTTAATCAGTCTCAGTCCTGTCAATAAAGCTTTTCTTTCCTACCCAGTGTCCCGAACGCATTCCTTAAGGACTCTGGTCACTCCCTTTAACGGACTCTCAGCTTCCCCTCGCGAGCAGTTCGATACGTCCTGCCTTGGCTGAATAAACGTAAAGGTTAGCCGAGGGACAACGTGGCGTAGTCGTTGAAACGTATTTGAGTTTAATACACGTTGGCTCTTTGTGAAATATTAAAATTACGATTTCAATTCCTCGTACGCGCGTCTTGACATACATGGACTAATTGCCTTGCGAGTAAGAAGGAATAATTTAGTGGAACGTTAGTGCGCTATGTTTACACGATAGTAAATGTTCGTAGAGACAAGTCAAACGGCAAAAGGAAAGGTTAACGAAGAATTATTAGGAAATAATGAGACGTGCAATTAACAATTGGTCGTGCAATTAGTAATAAAGAAAAAAGAGCAGACGGTAGCAGAAAGCAAGGGAATGAAGAAAAAAAAAAGGTAATAGGGTAGATAGGTAAGCGAATATACTGAAGGTGGAAAAATAAAAAAAAGAGAGAGAGAGAGAGAGAGAGAATCGTCGGTGCAGGCAAGTTTCATTCGACTCAACGAGCATTTATCACCATGTAAAGCTGGGGGTATAAAGTTTTTGATGAAAAAAAAAAAAAAAAAAAAAAAAAAAAAAAAAAAAAAAAAAAAAAAAAAAAAAAAAAAAAAAAAAAAAAAAAAAAAAAGAAAAAAAAAGGTAGCAAAGGTGGAAAATGTGGGAAGAAAGAGAGAGTGAGAAAGGGGGAACGTTGAAAAAAGAAACATCCCTCCTGGTAACCTCGACAACTTTTTGGTCGGGTATCCGCAATGGTTACCGTCTATGTGGAATTGCCGTATCTATAGCGGCCATGTTGAATCCAAATCTTATCGATGCATTCAAAGAAGTCGACCAACCTACATTTCGAGATGCACGAGATTCACGTCAGCGTAACTTCTCGGAAACGTTGAATTTAATTCACGAGCATCGATTTCGGCATCCGGGATCCTGGGCTCTGGACCGCTGGCATTCGTTTTCAGCATCCGGAATGCTCCTTCCTTTTCTTTTTTTTTTTTTTCTTTTTCTTCCGTTTATACACCAAGGGTGAACCACTTTTCTCATAAATTGCATTTACCCCACGGTTCATCGTAGTTCATCATGGGTTCATCGTGTTTCTGCGACTATCGATTATTTATTCGGAACGATGGACGCACGATTGGGAGCCTCGTTCACGAGTGTCATATTTATACATGGAAAAGGGAGTCGACTGCTAAACATTTCGTAAATTAGCCCAATCGTCTCCAAATCGTAGTATGAAAATGAGCTGAATGCTTTTCCATTAGGATTGACGTTTAGAACGTATTACAGGCGTATAACCCTTTTCCAATGTATTACACGTTGAAAGGATCCTTTATCGTATAGCCCCCATATCCGTCTATCCATCCAATCATACTGTCCATATGTATATATATAGTTTGTCATCCTTATTAATTTCTCGAATTTTCCCGAAAAGTCCAAAAATTCAATTCCATTTGGAGAATCGTCAAATCTGTTATTTTTTATCTGCTCTCCGAAATCTGTCCAGACGAAACTTCCACGAGGGCAAGAATACCAGTTGCAAAAGACACAAATCTAATCTGAGATACTTTCGCTAAGGAGTGTACGATGTATACAGATATACAATGGTACGTATATGCATAAATGCGAGCACTCACGTGCCGTGCAGTACATGCCTATATACACCGCACATATATATATTTGCTTTTACGTTCTGCCGAGAGAAAATCGTATTATCCGACTTTCCCATATTTATCGAGCAACATTTTTGTCCAGAGATACCCACTACCTACGCTCTGGCTTACGGGTACCTAAAGTGAATTCTCACGGCCGGATTGAATTGTTTCTTGCATTATATATTCCAATGGCATATCCTTATACAGCCACGAACAAGTGCTATACGGTTTATAGTAGAGTATAAAAGTAATATCAGTAATCGATCATGTCACTGTCCTCTTGCAATTGCTAAGATTAGTAAGCCGTGAGCAGGTACGATATCGAGTGAAAATTCGAATCTTTCAGCTGATAATAAGAAAAAAAAAAAAAAAAAGACAG